CATTTCGTTGCGGCCACCAGTGAACTGTTTCCCGGGGGACACTTTTCCTCGCAGCACCGCTATGTGCGTTAGCATGCTAATGTTATTGTTGAGCAGTTTGTTGCAGCGGTGGGTGGCGAGTCCACTGCTTATATTTACTGACGTTAAAAAACATCCCGTTTTCACCATCAGTGAATGTAGTAAACACATTTTCAGTGATGTGCATGGTTAGATTTAACGCGAGGTTAGTTAATATGGAGACGTTATGCTGATGGAGACTTAACGTGGTTCTATTGTGAAAAGCCCGAGGAGAAGTAGTTTGTAGTAGAAATGCAATTGACTGATGAGCAAGGTGAGTCGTGCTAATAAGCTTTTTTAATAACATAAAACAATAAACCCGATCATAATCTTTTCTTAACCTTCCTCCTTCATGACTGGACCAAAATGCGTGACTACTGTCTCCAACCACCAGTCAGAGAAAAGACATTTAGAGGAGGGAAGCAGAGATGGATAGAGATACAGTAAAAGAAAAATGTCAATAAGCAGTGTTTGTACATTTTATTTTCAGCTGACCTGTGATGAAAAGAAAAAGTCCGTGATATACKGTGAAACCGATGTAAATGATGAAAATACCGTGATTTAAAATTTTGGTCATACCGCCCAGCTCTAGGCTCTGGTATCATGGCTACCCAGCAACGGAGCTCAAAAMTGTGGGATCGTTTTAAGAAAATGAAAGAAAAACCTGTGCAATGCAATATCTGCAGAGCAGAACTTGCCTTCCACGGCAATTATTTTAAGTTYGCATATAGCTAAAATTTAATGATGGTTATATAATAGCAGCTGATTTCTGGCATGATAAGCAGTYTGTTTTATATTCAATTAACYTATGATCCGATTAGTCGACTAATCGAAAAAAGTAATCCGTGATTAATCGATTATAAAAATAATCGTTTGTGGCAGCCCRAATACGTTGTGACTGACTGGGTTATCTGCTGGTTATCTCAAATAAAAGGATCAGTACTTCATAATAAATTATTATTTGGGGGAGAATCATGTTTTTGTCCAGACACATAGTTCAATTCTACACCTTCAGTTGTTATGAAAATGCTMTATARCAAAAATAAATTAGACTTTCATAATCTAAATAAAAGTCTCTGCCTCTTTAAGAACACCCTACCGTTTCAGACACTCCCACTTCAGCACGTCTTGACGACAGTGCTTTGGGMTGGGGCATGAGCTTGGCTGCAGACTGAGCTCCYGGGAGGAGTTTTGTGTAAATAGGCGGTGCTTTGTACCAGCAAGTGRTTAGGCAGCTCCACGTGGATACCACAGGAGACGAGGATTTCTCCAACATGCATGAATGAGTCAAAGCAGCACTCTGGGTGTGTTTTTGATGAGGGAATGATGTTAAAACATGACATAAAGCTCAAAAAAGTTGATTGTGCATAACACCCCCTTTAAGTAAAGTTAGGTACGGTGTAGTAAAAATACTCATAAAAGTAACTTTTTTCCAAAAGTTACTCAAGTAAACTCTGTTATAGATATTATAGCAGAGTTTTATCACTATTTTATGACAATATGATAAAAAGTAGGAGAAAGTTTAAAGAGAAGGCGGCTTATTGTTTTCAGTCTTAATGAGGTCTGCTGATCTGCTTTGTCACCCTGCTAGCAACGGCTGAAACCCAGGCTACAGGGACCCCTGATTAACACAGATTTCCTTGGAGTTGATCATCGAGAGTAGTATGTAGGTCAGAAACATCCCGCTAACCCGCACAACTGCACAAAAGTCTCCTGACACGCACTGAAATTCAATCACATCACACAGGCACACAAGCTAACATGCGTGTARGAACACACATGTTAGAGTGACAGCTGGTAGCCGACCACATGACCTCACAGGTCACATATCAGTGGTCTTTTAAACCGTTTGAAGCACCCCACCATCTTTACGTCTCATTGCTGGGGAAAATAATTAAACCCCTAAAACACCGTTCCCCATTTTTGAGAATGGGGCACAAGAAGAAGAAGGAAGGCTCGCGTCAACCTGCGGGCTGCTCACACCTGGCAGCATGCTTCAGAAAACGGGGGTAAAAAAACCATGACAGGCCGAGACCTCAAAGGAAAACTGCGGTAAAATCAGTTAAAGGAACAGAATGATAGATGGCCTTGAGAGAGATGAGACTTTCGCAGCTGTAGACGCATTACACGCCTGTAAGTGTGTCACTCACACACCCACTCGCTTTTCTGCCYTTCCCCGAGCGACATTAACCGAAGGATTAATGTCATCCTTCTCAGGCCACGGACTGTACGAGTGATGAGAGACTTTCAGAGCAAAGAGGAACTAATGAAACATGGCTCAGACAGTACAGTCCACGGACGGAAAATGAAGAACTTTTCTTTATTTTTTATAATCATAATAAATTGTCCGACCCTCAAAACTACATGTGAGGCTGTTAAAATGCACGTAATACGAAGCATGAATTAGGATGTAGAACARCTGATATTGCTGTACAAAAGATACACTGGCATTGTGTTTGAGCWCTTTATGGGATGGACACATTACAAAAGACAAAATAAATAAAAAGAGGGGAGTTTGTAATTGTGCAAACATCTTCCTGACATACAGACCAACCAGCAGGTGCAGGGTTTGAAATCAACTCAAAATGCCTGTGTGGCATTGTTGCTGTTTTCTTAAACATATTATGATATAAATTACATTTTTTTTTTACTGTTAAAGAATAGATCAACACTATTTTAGAAGGCTTAAAGTGTATATCTAGAGAGAGTATCTAGGGCTACGTTCACCTTGCAGGTCTTAATGCTCAGTTCRGATTTTTTGCAAACATGCAAATTTTTTGGAATGAAAGCTTGAGGGGGGTGGGGTGTGAAGCACCTCATTAAAGAGACAGCATCAAAGCGAGTTGATCTGAGACACACCTCAGAAAAGGGGAGAAAGAGGAGATTGTGGAGTTACAATAATGAAGAATTCAGACCAAAGCTTTGCAGTTCCACTTTATATAGACCCCAACTGAATGATTTAAACGTGAAAAAGAAGGGTTTAAAAGCATGATTTGGCTCCTTTTAAGAATGTAGCTTTCACCATAATGTCTGTAAAATCCTGACAGGACTGGATTATTATTTTTTTTTTTTTACCTGTCCCAGTCCTGCCTATGCAACAGAAAATGTTTTGCGGTTTTAGCATATTAGTTAAAAAACCTGGGGGCTTCAAACAGATGCTAGTGCAG